TGTGTGTGCGTGTGACTGTGTGTGCGTGACTGTGTGTGCGTGTGGCTGTGTGTGCGTGACTGTGTGTGCGTATGACTGGGTGTGCGTGTGGCTGTGTGTGCGTATGACTGTTTGTGCGTGACTGTGTGTGCGTGACTGTGTGTGCGTGACTGTGTATGCGTGTGGCTGTGTGTGCGTATGACTGTTTGTGCGTATGACTGTTTGTGCGTGACTGTGTGTGCGTGACTGTGTGTGCGTGACTGTGTATGCGTGTGGCTGTGTGTGCGTATGACTGTTTGTGCGTGTGGCTGTGTGTGCGTATGACTGTTTGTGCGTATGACTGTTTGTGCGTGCAGTTATCACTGTACCAACTAGAAAAGCAGTATTATTCTATAAAAGACTGGATTGTGTTTATCTCTTTCTGATGCTATCCTAGCTAACACCAAGCTGCTTTCAGTTTTATAGCTAGGTTACAACTGAGCTATTCTACGCTAATATTTTCAAACAACATATTCTGCTGTTATCACTCCCAGAGTGTGTTGTTAATATACTTACGTAGACCTGACGGAGATGAATCTGCTGCTGCCATCACCAACACGATGCACGTCCATGTGGCGTGACGAGGGGCTGGGGGCGGGGCTAACTCGCTCAGGGGAGAAGAAACTGCCGGAAACGACCAAATCGCTTACTGCTGATTTAAGTTTTTACCTTTATAAATCATTTCTTGCTTGGATACGAATTTTCAGTTAAATATTTTATGTGAAACAAAGTGTTATAAAGAAATGAAGCTTGTATCATTCACAGAAAGTGAGCAAATAATATTTAAACCAAATTAGGCACCCTTAAAAATGTTGATTTCAACACGGGGCAATAGTGGCTCAGTTGGTAGAGCCTTTGGGCCGGAAGGTTGTGAGTTCAAACCCATCACATGAGCTACTTCACGACTCCCACTGATGTCTGCTGTCGTTGTGTCCTTGGGCAAGACACTTAACCCCACTTTGCCTGAAGCCCCCACTGAAAGATCAAGGCTCCTGTGGACTCAGCACCTGCAGGAGGATCAGTGAGGGGCTGGTGCTCTGACTGCCACCCCCGACACAGAAATGGATCAAGGGGAAGAAAATGGATGGATGGATAATCTCAACACCTTTTGCACCGGAAGTGTCGCCTCATTGCGCTGGATTACTTCCTGTTTGCGCCGGTTTTATGAAAAAATGCTGTAAATCCATGTGTCCTGGTCTTAATGGACCTGTGCCTGCTGCTAACAAGGTGTAAGTTGTTCTGCAAAACTACATAAATGTGCTTATTTTAAATGGACTTAAATGATTTCATAAAAATCTGTCATTTTCCATTCTTGTTTTATTACACGTTATTCTCAATCATTTCCAAAGTAATATTTCAATTGCAACATAATCCACTATCAATCAAGTGTTTATTTTACCTGTTTTCCTTGCAACACAATCAAGCCACAATTAAAAAAAATAAAAAATACAAACTACAGAATTCTGCCCTTCTGTAGTTTTCATTTTGGAATAAACATATCTCAAAAAATGTTACACTGGAAGAAACAAGATTTACACATTTTCATACATGATGAATGTAGTCTTCAAAACAAAATGGGCCTTGATAATTTGCCAAAACTCAGCAAGCTGTGGTTTCTGAACCCTCTGAAGGCAGATTCCCTTTATATTTAGATGGATCAATAACATTATTCACAGCTCTATTTTTAAGGCGGCTGCTGGTGAATCCGGTGATAAAATCCTCCTGTGTAAGGCTGCATACAGAAGTGCACCCTGGCTTTATGGAGAACTGGGTACCCTCGTCTCTTCTAACTGCTTGGATCCACTGCCTTTTTTGGTCCAGGTCCCTCAAGAAAGCATGGAAAGACAGATATGGTTGTTTTCTTGCCCCTCAAGAGCAACCAGGAACAGAGGAACTGGTTTCCATACTGACACTGTTTGTGAATGGGAAAGCATAGCCACAGGAAAGGCCTTTGAGGGACTTCTGGTTTAAAACACAAAAGTGTGAAAAAGGTCCATTAGAACTTAAATTGGTGTGTAAATTCAGTGACCCTTGACCTCCATACACAGGTGAATTCAATCATAAGAAGGGGTATTTTAGAACAACATTCTGAAATGACCATCTTAGTCCCAGACCTGAATATTATTGAAATTAGCTCCTTCACAATGAGCTAGAAAACGTTCATACTGATTCATGTGACAGAGCAATGACGAATGTTTATTTGACGTTACTGTTGTATACAGAATTGTTGGATTGGTCAAACAAAGGAACCGACTGCTTCAGCAAAGAATAACATGTACTGTGGGTTGGCAAAGAAACAAAGGGCCGTGATTGGCTCAATCCATTTTTGGACAGGCTTGATCTCAATGCTTTGTTTTCAAACTGGCAGGTTATTTTTCTGCTGCTGAATAATCACTGTTTAACAGGTTCAGAAGGGGAAAGAAATGGCAATGGAGTGACTCAAACATGCATGAATTGCAAACAACTGAGTGTGTGAATGACCATTGAACTCTGCGACAGTCAAAAGCAGAGATAAGAATAAGATAAGAAAAACATAAAAGAACCCAAAACCCCATTGTTTGGAAGATTACTGTTATATTAACTAAAATTCTGTATTACAGTAATCCATCGCCTCTTCTCATAAAAGTCTTTACAGGTTTGATGCGTCCAAGTCCATGCATCGCCTCTCGGTCGACAGCACAGATGGAACTCGGAGATAATACTTTTGTCGTAAACGAATCTAAAGTTTCTGGTGTGTAGTCAGCCATCAATGTTCAGTAATATCAGACAACATAACTTGAATTCTTCAGAAATCCTTGGAACTATATATATTTATTAAATGGATCTGATTAGGGGCGACAGTAGCTCAGTTGGTAGAGCATTGGCCTTAAGCCCAGAAGGTCGTGGGTTCAATTCCCACCTCTGCACCTTCTCCACCGACTCCCACTGATGACTGCTGTCGTTGTGTCCTTGGGCAAGACACTTAACCCCACTTTGCCCCAAAGCCCCCACTGAAAGATCAAGGCTATGCTCACACTCAGAGAGCAGCCGTCCTCCTGTGGACTCACCACCTGCAGAGGGTCAGTGAGGGGCTGGTGCTATGAGACTTGGGTGGCATCTCTGATTGCCACCCCCCTGACCCAGAAATGGATTAAAGGGTAGAAAATGGATGGATGGATGGATGGATGGATGGATCTGATTAGAGCATTGTCCACCTCTACCATCTTCTCAAACCACCACAAACCCTTAGTTTGCGGTTGAAGTGTCTTGCCCAAGGACACAACAAACAAACTACTCAAAAAGAAAAATTCATTGTATTGATTGTATGAAATCAAGTCATGTTAACTTTGGCTGATATGTGTTGATTAAGTAACAATCACGTCATAGTCCAACATAGGTGTGTTGTATGAGTGATATTTGAAAAACACACGGCACCACATTCATCGACAACAAGACAAAAAGTATTTGTACATATAATAAATAAAAAATTTGAGTCCACAGTTTGCATGTCTGCTCATAAAAATGGTCTCTGACTTTGTGGTAAATCACCTCCTCCAAAGTTCCACCACCAATCATCAGTCCAGTCACCTACAAAGAGAGATGGAGAAGTTAATGTTATACAATGTTATGCTTTGGATCAGGACTGTGCAATTCATAACAAAATCCTCACAATTTTTATTAGTTTCTCCAACTACAAAAATGGCAACAACAAGAAATAAATATTATGCATGTGCACGAGTCTAAGAATAAGTATTTGGATAATAAGGGTCTGGAGATGGCTTGCAGTTCTGCAGCTCAAACATCTCAACCTGTAGTTGTCTCAGCTACGAGAACCTAACAAGTCCAATCTGAGAAGCTCTGGCCCCTCACAGCTGCAGCCTACGGGTGGTGTACCACTGGCTGCTGTCTGCTCTCTCTGATCTACTTTTTGTTCAAGGGAATATCCTTGCACACAAGATTTACCTGTGATGTGAGTAAAACACTTTGTTGTGTCCACACGCAGGAAGACCAGGTTTGGGGAAAACAAAATAATCTAACACCACACCACACTAGCCTGAGTCTCGCCAGACCCTTGTAGATCGCTGAGCTTCACACAAGGGTCTGGGTCTCCTTCATAGTGGAAGAATTTAAAAATGTATGTGAATGGATTGAATGTGTTCCTTTAATCACTCACAGCAAAGCACACAATTCAGCACACAACTCCTCACTGCATTGCAGGGTTGCCTAATGCTGGAAAGATTTTCCAGCCCAAAACCCACGAGATTACCCTCCAAAAAAAACACCCAGAATGATTTTTTTTGGCTAAAAACGTTTTGCAATCAACTTGGGTTATCATGATTCTGTTTATTGTCTCTCTGTCTATTTATTACCTACAAGTCGCTTGGGACAAAAGTATGCGGGAAACCAACCAACCTGGCAACCCTGCTGCGTAGTGCTGTGACAGGAGCACTTAGTAAGTAAGTAATCTTTATTTATATACCGCCTTTCACAGACCAGAGTCACAAAGCGGTTTACAATTGTTATTTTTGGGCATTTGTCTCTCACTCCACACAGAGATGGGAGGGGCCAGTACAGGAGGCACATGCCAGAACTATTGTACATATTTTTAGTGGTAGGGGAAACCGGAGTACCCGGAGGAAACCTACGCAGACACGGGGAGAACATGCAAACTCCACTCAGAAAGGCCCTTGTCCGGCCGGGATTCGAACCAAGGACCTTCTTGCTGAGAGGCAAGAGTGCTATCCACTCAGCTACTGTGCCGCCCACTTAAAGCACAACTCACCCTCAAATCCACTATTTTTGCTGATAAATGGTATAAATGAGTGTCTGATAGTGTTGTCTACATATCCTGGTCATAATTTTGTCACTTTGGTGCAAATTGGTTGAAAGTTCAACTTTCTGCCTAAAACCGTCTGTGAGGCGCCATCTGCTGGCGACCTGTATTTATAACATTTGAAGTTTGAATCTGGCGCCAACTTTGGCACAGCCGCGAAGGCTGACGTCTACAGCGAAGACTGACGTCTGCAGCGAAGACTGACGTCTGCAGCGAAGACTGACGTCTGCAGCGAAGACTGACGACTGACGTCTGCAGTGAAGACTGACGACTGACGTCTGCAGTGAAGGCTGACGTCTGCAGAGAAGGCTGACGTCTGCAGCGAAGACTGACGTCTGCAGCGAAGACTGACGTCTGCAGCGAAGACTGACGTCTGCAGCGAAGACTGACGTCTGCAGCGAAGACTGACGTCTGAAGTGAAGACTGACGTCTGCAGTGAAGACTGACGTCTGAAGTGAAGAATGACGTCTGCAGCGAAGGCTGACGTCTGCAGCGAAGGCTGACGTCTGCAGCGAAGACTGACGTCTGCAGCGAAGGTTGACGTCTGCAGCGAAGGCTGACGTCTGCAGCGAAGACTAACGTCTGCAGCGAAGACTGACGGCTGCAGTGAAGACTGACGTCTGCAGCGAAGACTGACGTCTGCAGTGAAGACTGACGACTGACGTCTGCAGTGAAGGCTGACGTCTGCAGAGAAGGCTGACGTCTGCAGCGAAGACTGACGTCTGCAGCGAAGGTTGACGTCTGCAGCGAAGGCTGACGTCTGCAGCGAAGACTAACGTCTGCAGCGAAGACTGACGGCTGCAGTGAAGACTGACGTCTGCAGCGAAGACTGACGTCTGCAGTGAAGACTGACGACTGACGTCTGCAGTGAAGGCTGACGTCTGCAGAGAAGGCTGACGTCTGCAGCGAAGACTGACGTCTGCAGTGAAGACTGACGTCTGCAGCGAAGACTGACGTCTGAAGTGAAGACTGACGTCTGCAGTGAAGACTGACGTCTGAAGTGAAGACTGACGTCTGCAGCGAAGGCTAACGTCTGCAGCGAAGGCTGACGTCTACAGCGAAGGCTGACGTCTGCAGCGAAGGCTGACGTCTGCAGCGAAGACTGACGTCTGCAGCGAAGACTGACGTCTGCAGCGAAGGCTGACGTCTGCAGCGAAGGCTGACGTCTGCAGCGAAGGCTGACGTCTGCAGCGAAGGCTGACGTCTGCAGCGAAGGCTGACGTCTGCAGCGAAGGCTGACGTCTGCAGCGAAGGCTGACGTCTGCAGCGAAGGCTGACGTCTGCAGCGAAGACTGACGTCTGCAGCGAAGACTGACGTCTGCAGTGAAGACTGACGTCTGCAGCGAAGGCTGACGTCTGCAGTGAAGACTGACGTCTGCAGCAAAGACTGACGACTGACGTCTGCAGTGAAGACTGACGACTGACGTCTGCAGTGAAGGCTGACGTCTGCAGAGAAGGCTGACGTCTGCAGCGAAGACTGACGTCTGCAGCGAAGACTGACGTCTGCAGCGAAGACTGATGTCTGCAGCGAAGACTGACGTCTGCAGCGAAGACTGACGACTGACGTCTGCAGTGAAGACTGACGAATGACGTCTGCAGTGAAGGCTGACGTCTGCAGAGAAGGCTGACGTCTGCAGCGAAGACTGACGTCTGCAGCGAAGACTGACGTCTGAAGTGAAGACTGACGTCTGCAGTGAAGACTGACGTCTGAAGCGAAGAATGACGTCTGCAGCGAAGGCTGACGTCTGCAGCGAAGGCTGACGTCTGCAGCGAAGGCTGACGTCTGCAGCGAAGGCTGACGTCTGCAGCGAAGGCTGACGTCTGCAGCGAAGGCTGACGTCTGCAGCGAAGGCTGACGTCTGCAGCGAAGGCTGACGTCTGCAGCGAAGGCTGACGTCTGCAGCGAAGACTGACGTCTGCAGTGAAGACTGACGTCTGCAGCGAAGACTGACGACTGACGTCTGCAGTGAAGACTGACGACTGACGTCTGCAGTGAAGGCTGACGTCTGCAGAGAAGGCTGACGTCTGCAGCGAAGACTGACGTCTGCAGCGAAAACTGACGTCTGCAGCGAAGACTGACGTCTGCAGCGAAGGCTGACGTCTGCAGCGAAGGCTGACGTCTGCAGCGAAGGCTGACGTCTGCAGCGAAGGCTGACGTCTGCAGCGAAGGTTGACGTCTGCAGCGAAGACTGACGTCTGCAGCGAAGACTGACGTCTGCAGTGAAGACTGACGTCTGCAGCGAAGACTGACGACTGACGTCTGCAGTGAAGACTGACGACTGACGTCTGCAGTGAAGGCTGACGTCTGCAGAGAAGGCTGACGTCTGCAGCGAAGACTGACATCTGCAGCGAAGACTGACGTCTGCAGCGAAGACTGACGTCTGAAGTGAAGACTGACGTCTGCAGTGAAGACTGACGTCTGCAGAGAAGGCTGACGTCTGCAGCGAAGGCTGACGTCTGCAGCGAAGACTGACGTCTGCAGCGAAGACTGACGTCTGCAGCGAAGACTGACGTCTGCAGCGAAGACTGACGTCTGCAGCGAAGACTGACGTCTGCAGTGAAGACTGACGACTGACGTCTGCAGTGAAGGCTGACGTCTGCAGAGAAGGCTGACGTCTGCAGCGAAGACTGACGTCTGCAGCGAAGACTGACGTCTGCAGTGAAGACTGACGTCTGCAGCGAAGGCTGACGTCTGCAGCGAAGACTGACGTCAGAAGTGAAGACTGACGTCTGCAGTGAAGACTGACGTCTCAAGTGAAGAATGACGTCTGCAGCGAAGGCTGACGTCTGCAGCGAAGGCTGACGTCTGCAGCGAAGGCTGACGTCTGCAGCGAAGGCTGACGTCTGCAGCGAAGACTGACGTCTGAAGTGAAGACTGACGTCTGCAGTGAAGACTGACGTCTGAAGTGAAGAATGACGTCTGCAGCGAAGGCTGACGTCTGAAGTGAAGACTGACGTCTGCAGCGAAGACTGACGTCTGCAGTGAAGACTGACGACTGACGTCTGTAGTGAAGGCTGACGTCTGCAGCGAAGACTGACGTCTGCAGCGAAGACTGACGTCTGCAGCGAAGACTGACGTCTGAAGCGAAGACTGACGTCTGCAGTGAAGACTGACGTCTGAAGCGAAGACTGACGTCTGCAGCGAAGGCTGACGTCTGCAGCGAAGGCTGACGTCTGCAGCGAAGGCTGACGTCTGCAGCGAAGGCTGACGTCTGCAGCGAAGGCTGACGTCTGCAGCAAAGGCTGACGTCTGCAGCGAAGACTGACGTCTGCAGCGAAGACTGACGTCTGCAGAGAAGGCTGACGTCTGCAGCGAAGGCTGACGTCTGCAGCGAAGACTGACGTCTGCAGCGAAGGCTGACGTCTGCAGCGAAGGCTGACGTCTGCAGCGAAGGCTGACGTCTGCAGCGAAGGCTGACGTCTGCAGCGAAGGCTGACGTCTGCAGCGAAGACTGGCGTCTGCAGTGAAGACTGACGACTGACGTCTGCAGTGAAGGCTGACGTCTGCAGCGAAGGCTGACGTCTGCAGCGAAGACTGACGTCTGCAGCGAAGACTGACGTCTGCAGCGAAGACTGACGTCTGCAGCGAAGACTGACGTCTGCAGTGAAGACTGACGACTGACGTCTGCAGTGAAGGCTGACGTCTGCAGAGAAGGCTGACGTCTGCAGCGAAGGCTGACGTCTGCAGCGAAGACTGACGTCTGCAGCGAAGACTGACGTCTGCAGCGAAGGCTGACGTCTGCAGCGAAGACTGACGTCTGAAGCGAAGACTGACGTCTGCAGTGAAGACTGACGTCTCAAGTGAAGAATGACGTCTGCAGCGAAGGCTGACGTCTGCAGCGAAGGCTGACGTCTGCAGCGAAGGCTGACGTCTGCAGCGAAGGCTGACGTCTGCAGCGAAGGCTGACGTCTGCAGCGAAGGCTGACGTCTGCAGTGAAGACTGACGTCTGCAGCGAAGGCTGACGTCTGCAGCGAAGACTGACGTCTGAAGTGAAGACTGACGTCTGCAGTGAAGACTGACGTCTGAAGTGAAGAATGACGTCTGCAGCGAAGGCTGACGTCTGAAGTGAAGACTGACGTCTGCAGCGAAGACTGACGTCTGCAGTGAAGACTGACGACTGACGTCTGTAGTGAAGGCTGACGTCTGCAGCGAAGACTGACGTCTGCAGCGAAGACTGACGTCTGCAGCGAAGACTGACGTCTGAAGTGAAGACTGACGTCTGCAGTGAAGACTGACGTCTGAAGTGAAGACTGACGTCTGCAGCGAAGGCTGACGTCTGCAGCGAAGGCTGACGTCTGCAGCGAAGGCTGACGTCTGCAGCGAAGACTGACGTCTGCAGCGAAGGCTGACGTCTGCAGAGAAGGCTGACGTCTGCAGCGAAGGCTGACGTCTGCAGCGAAGACTGACGTCTGCAGCGAAGGCTGACGTCTGCAGCGAAGGCTGACGTCTGCAGCGAAGGCTGACGTCTGCAGCGAAGGCTGACGTCTGCAGCGAAGGCTGACGTCTGCAGCGAAGGCTGACGTCTGCAGCGAAGACTGGCGTCTGCAGTGAAGACTGACGACTGACGTCTGCAGTGAAGGCTGACGTCTGCAGCGAAGACTGACGTCTGCAGCGAAGGCTGACGTCTGCAGCGAAGGCTGACGTCTGCAGCGAAGGCTGACGTCTGCAGCGAAGGCTGACGTCTGCAGCGAAGGCTGATGTCTGCAGCGAAGACTGACGTCTGCAGTGAAGACTGACGTCTGCAGCGAAGACTGACGACTGACGTCTGCAGTGAAGGCTGACGTCTGCAGAGAAGGCTGACGTCTGCAGCGAAGACTGACGTCTGCAGCGAAGACTGACGTCTGCAGCGAAGACTGACGTCTGCAGCGAAGGCTGACGTCTGCAGCGAAGGCTGACGTCTGCAGCGAAGGCTGACGTCTGCAGCGAAGACTGGCGTCTGCAGCGAAGGCTGACGTCTGCAGCGAAGACTGACGTCTGCAGCGAAGGCTGACGTCTGCAGCGAAGGCTGACGTCTGCAGCGAAGGCTGACGTCTGCAGCGAAGGCTGACGTCTGCAGCGAAGACTGGCGTCTGCAGTGAAGACTGACGACTGACGTCTGCAGTGAAGGCTGACGTCTGCAGCGAAGACTGACGTCTGCAGCGAAGGCTGACGTCTGCAGCAAAGGCTGACGTCTGCAGCGAAGGCTGACGTCTGCAGCGAAGGCTGACGTCTGCAGCGAAGGCTGATGTCTGCAGCGAAGACTGACGTCTGCAGTGAAGACTGACGTCTGCAGCGAAGACTGACGACTGACGTCTGCATTGAAGACTGACGACTGACGTCTGCAGTGAAGGCTGACGTCTGCAGAGAAGGCTGACGTCTGCAGCGAAGACTGACGTCTGCAGCGAAGACTGACGTCTGCAGCGAAGACTGACGTCTGCAGCGAAGGCTGACGTCTGCAGCAAAGGCTGACGTCTGCAGCGAAGGCTGACGTCTGCAGCGAAGACTGACGTCTGCAGCGAAGACTGACGTCTGCAGAGAAGGCTGACGTCTGCAGCGAAGGCTGACGTCTGCAGCGAAGACTGACGTCTGCAGCGAAGGCTGACGTCTGCAGCGAAGGCTGACGTCTGCAGCGAAGGCTGACGTCTGCAGCGAAGGCTGACGTCTGCAGCGAAGGCTGACGTCTGCAGCGAAGACTGGCGTCTGCAGTGAAGACTGACGACTGACGTCTGCAGCGAAGACTGACGTCTGCAGCGAAGACTGACGTCTGCAGCGAAGACTGACGTCTGCAGCGAAGGCTGACGTCTGCAGCGAAGGCTGACGTCTGCAGCGAAGGCTGACGTCTGCAGCGAAGACTGACGTCTGCAGCGAAGACTGACGTCTGCAGCGAAGACGGACGTCTGCAGCGAAGGCTGACGTCTGCAGCGAAGGCTGACGTCTGCAGCAAAGACTGACGACTGACGTCTGCAGTGAAGGCTGACGTCTGCAGTGAAGGCTGACGTCTGCAGCGAAGGCTGACGTCTGCAGCGAAGGCTGACGTCTGCAGTGAAGACTGACGACTGACGTCTGCAGTGAAGGCTGACGTCTGCAGCGAAGACTGACGTCTGCAGCGAAGGCTGACGTCTGCAGCGAAGACTGACGTCTGCAGCGAAGACTGACGTCTGCAGCGAAGACTGACGTCTGCAGCGAAGACTGACGACTGACGTCTGCAGCGAAGACTGACGACTGACGTCTTCAGTGAAGGCTGACGTCTGCAGCGAAGACTGACGTCTGAAGTGAAGACTGACGTCTGCAGCGAAGACTGACGTCTGCAGCGAAGACTGACGTCTGCAGTGAAGGCTGACGTCTGCAGCGAAGACTGACGTCTGCAGCGAAGGCTGACGTCTGCAGCGAAGACTGACGTCTGCAGCGAAGACTGACGTCTGCAGCGAAGACTGACGACGAAGTGAAGACTGACGTCTGCAGTGAAGACTGACGTCTGAAGTGAAGAATGACGTCTGCAGCGAAGACTGACGTCTGCAGAGAAGGCTGACGTCTGCAGCGAAGGCTGACGTCTGCAGCGAAGACTGACGTCTGCAGCGAAGGCTGACGTCTGCAGCGAAGGCTGACGTCTGCAGCGAAGGCTGACGTCTGCAGCGAAGGCTGACGTCTGCAGCGAAGACTGGCGTCTGCAGTGAAGACTGACGACTGACGTCTGCAGTGAAGGCTGACGTCTGCAGCGAAGGCTGACGTCTGCAGCGAAGGCTGACGTCTGCAGCGAAGGCTGACATCTGCAGCGAAGGCTGACGTCTGCAGCGAAGGCTGACGTCTGCAGCGAAGGCTGACGTCTGCAGCGAAGGCTGACGTCTGCAGCGAAGGCTGACGTCTGCAGCGAAGACTGACGTCTGCAGCGAAGACTGACGACTGACGTCTGCAGTGAAGACTGACGACTGACGTCTGCAGTGAAGGCTGACGTCTGCAGAGAAGGCTGACGTCTGAGCGAAGACTGACGTCTGCAGCGAAGACTGACGTCTGCAGCGAAGACTGACGTCTGCAGCGAAGCTGACGTCTGCAGCGAAGGCTGACGTCTGCAGCGAAGGCTGACTGACTGACGTCTGCAGCGAAGGCTGACGTCTGCAGCGAAGGCTGACGTCTGCAGCGAAGGCTGACGTCTGCAGCGAAGACTGACGTCTGCAGCGAAGACTGACGTCTGCAGAGAAGGCTGAGGTCTGCAGCGAAGGCTGACGTCTGCAGCGAAGGCTGACGTCTGCAGCGAAGGCTGACGTCTGCAGCGAAGGCCGACGTCTGCAGCGAAGACTGGCATCTGCAGTGAAGACTGACGACTGACGTCTGCAGCGAAGACTGACGTCTGCAGCGAAGACTGACGTCTGCAGCGAAGGCTGACGTCTGCAGCGAAGGCTGACGTCTGCAGCGAAGGCTGACGTCTGCAGCGAAGGCTGACGTCTGCAGCGAAGACTGACGTCTGCAGCGAAGACTGACGTCTGCAGCGAAGACGGACGTCTGCAGCGAAGGCTGACGTCTGCAGCGAAGACTGACGTCTGCAGTGAAGACTGACGACTGACGTCTGCAGCGAAGGCTGACGTCTGCAGCGAAGACTGACGTCTGCAGTGAAGACTGACGACTGACGTCTGCAGTGAAGGCTGACGTCTGCAGTGAAGGCTGACGTCTGCAGCGAAGGCTGACGTCTGCAGCGAAGGCTGACGTCTGCAGTGAAGACTGACGACTGACGTCTGCAGTGAAGGCTGACGTCTGCAGCGAAGACTGACGTCTGCAGCGAAGGCTGACGTCTGCAGCGAAGACTGACGTCTGCAGCGAAGACTGACGTCTGCAGCGAAGACTGACGACTGACGTCTGCAGCGAAGACTGACGACTGACGTCTTCAGTGAAGGCTGACGTCTGCAGCGAAGACTGACGTCTGAAGTGAAGACTGACGTCTGCAGCGAAGACTGACGTCTGCAGCGAAGACTGACGTCTGCAGTGAAGGCTGACGTCTGCAGCGAAGACTGACGTCTGCAGCGAAGGCTGACGTCTGCAGCGAAGACTGACGACTGACGTCTTCAGTGAAGGCTGACGTCTGCAGAGAAGGCTGACGTCTGCAGCGAAGACTGACGTCTGCAGCGAAGACTGACGTCTGCAGCGAAGACTGACGTCTGAAGTGAAGACTGACGTCTGCAGCGAAGACTGACGTCTGCAGCGAAGACTGACGTCTGCAGTGAAGGCTGACGTCTGCAGTGAAGGCTGACGTCTGCAGCGAAGACTGACGACTGACGTCTGCAGCGAAGACTGACGTCTGCAGTGAAGACTGACGACTGACGTCTGCAGTGAAGGCTGACGTCTGCAGAGAAGGCTGACGTCTGCAGCGAAGACTGACGTCTGCAGCGAAGGCTGACGTCTGCAGTGAAGACTGACGACTGACGTCTGCAGCGAAGACTGACGTCTGCAGCGAAGACTGACGTCTGCAGCGAAGACTGACGTCTGCAGCGAAGACTGACGTCTGCAGCGAAGGCTGACGTCTGCAGCGAAGGCTGACGTCTGCAGCGAAGGCTGACGTCTGCAGCGAAGACTGACGTCTGCAGCGAAGACTGACGTCTGCAGCGAAGACGGACGTCTGCAGCGAAGGCTGACGTCTGCAGCGAAGGCTGACGTCTGCAGCAAAGACTGACGACTGACGTCTGCAGTGAAGGCTGACGTCTGCAGTGAAGGCTGACGTCTGCAGCGAAGGCTGACGTCTGCAGCGAAGGCTGACGTCTGCAGTGAAGACTGACGACTGACGTCTGCAGTGAAGGCTGACGTCTGCAGCGAAGACTGACGTCTGCAGCGAAGGCTGACGTCTGCAGCGAAGACTGACGTCTGCAGCGAAGACTGACGTCTGCAGCGAAGACTGACGTCTGCAGCGAAGACTGACGACTGACGTCTGCAGCGAAGACTGACGACTGACGTCTTCAGTGAAGGCTGACGTCTGCAGCGAAGACTGACGTCTGAAGTGAAGACTGACGTCTGCAGCGAAGACTGACGTCTGCAGCGAAGACTGACGTCTGCAGTGAAGGCTGACGTCTGCAGCGAAGACTGACGTCTGCAGCGAAGGCTGACGTCTGCAGCGAAGACTGACGTCTGCAGCGAAGACTGACGTCTGCAGCGAAGACTGACGACTGAAGTGAAGACTGACGTCTGCAGTGAAGACTGACGTCTGAAGTGAAGAATGACGTCTGCAGCGAAGACTGACGTCTGCAGAGAGAAGGCTGACGTCTGCAGCGAAGGCTGACGTCTGCAGCGAAGACTGACGTCTGCAGCGAAGGCTGACGTCTGCAGCGAAGGCTGACGTCTGCAGCGAAGGCTGACGTCTGCAGCGAAGGCTGACGTCTGCAGCGAAGGCTGACGTCTGCAGCGAAGACTGGCGTCTGCAGTGAAGACTGACGACTGACGTCTGCAGTGAAGGCTGACGTCTGCAGCGAAGGCTGACGTCTGCAGCGAAGGCTGACGTCTGCAGCGAAGGCTGACATCTGCAGCGAAGGCTGACGTCTGCAGCGAAGGCTGACGTCTGCAGCGAAGGCTGACGTCTGCAGCGAAGGCTGACGTCTGCAGCGAAGGCTGACGTCTGCAGCGAAGACTGACGTCTGCAGCGAAGACTGACGACTGACGTCTGCAGTGAAGACTGACGACTGACGTCTGCAGTGAAGGCTGACGTCTGCAGAGAAGGCTGACGTCTGGAGCGAAGACTGACGTCTGCAGCGAAGACTGACGTCTGCAGCGAAGACTGACGTCTGCAGCGAAGGCTGACGTCTGCAGCGAAGGCTGACGTCTGCAGCGAAGGCTGACGTCTGCAGCGAAGGCTGACGTCTGCAGCGAAGGCTGACGTCTGCAGCGAAGACTGACGTCTGCAGCGAAGACTGACGTCTGCAGAGAAGGCTGAGGTCTGCAGCGAAGGCTGACGTCTGCAGCGAAGGCTGACGTCTGCAGCGAAGGCTGACGTCTGCAGCGAAGGCTGACGTCTGCAGCGAAGACTGGCATCTGCAGTGAAGACTGACGACTGACGTCTGCAGCGAAGACTGACGTCTGCAGCGAAGACTGACGTCTGCAGCGAAGGCTGACGTCTGCAGCGAAGGCTGACGTCTGCAGCGAAGGCTGACGTCTGCAGCGAAGGCTGACGTCTGCAGCGAAGACTGACGTCTGCAGCGAAGACTGACGTCTGCAGCGAAGACGGACGTCTGCAGCGAAGGCTGACGTCTGCAGCGAAGACTGACGTCTGCAGTGAAGACTGACGACTGACGTCTGCAGCGAAGGCTGACGTCTGCAGCGAAGACTGACGTCTGCAGTGAAGACTGACGACTGACGTCTGCAGTGAAGGCTGACGTCTGCAGTGAAGGCTGACGTCTGCAGCGAAGGCTGACGTCTGCAGCGAAGGCTGACGTCTGCAGTGAAGACTGACGACTGACGTCTGCAGTGAAGGCTGACGTCTGCAGCGAAGACTGACGTCTGCAGCGAAGGCTGACGTCTGCAGCGAAGACTGACGTCTGCAGCGAAGACTGACGTCTGCAGCGAAGACTGACGACTGACGTCTGCAGCGAAGACTGACGACTGACGTCTTCAGTGAAGGCTGACGTCTGCAGCGAAGACTGACGTCTGAAGTGAAGACTGACGTCTGCAGCGAAGACTGACGTCTGCAGCGAAGACTGACGTCTGCAGTGAAGGCTGACGTCTGCAGCGAAGACTGACGTCTGCAGCGAAGGCTGACGTCTGCAGCGAAGACTGACGACTGACGTCTTCAGTGAAGGCTGACGTCTGCAGAGAAGGCTGACGTCTGCAGCGAAGACTGACGTCTGCAGCGAAGACTGACGTCTGCAGCGAAGACTGACGTCTGAAGTGAAGACTGACGTCTGCAGCGAAGACTGACGTCTGCAGCGAAGACTGACGTCTGCAGTGAAGGCTGACGTCTGCAGTGAAGGCTGACGTCTGCAGCGAAGACTGACGACTGACGTCTGCAGCGAAGACTGACGTCTGCAGTGAAGACTGACGACTGACGTCTGCAGTGAAGGCTGACGTCTGCAGAGAAGGCTGACGTCTGCAGCGAAGACTGACGTCTGCAGCGAAGGCTGACGTCTGCAGTGAAGACTGACGACTGACGTCTGCAGTGAAGGCTGACGTCTGCAGCGAAGACTGACGTCTGCAGTGAAGACTAACGTCTGCAGCGAAGGCTGACGTCTGCAGCGAAGACCTTCGTCTGCAGTGAAGACTGACGTCTGAAGTGAAGAATGACGTCTGCAGCGAAGGCTGACGTCTGCAGCAAAGGCTGACGTCTGCAGCGAAGGCTGACGTCTGCAGCGAAGGCTGACGTCTGCAGCGAAGGCTGACGTCTGCAGCGAAGGCTGACGTCTGCAGCGAAGACTGACGTCTGCAGCGAAGACTGACGTCTGCAGCGAAGACTGACGTCTGCAGCGAAGACTGACGACTGACGTCTGCAGCGAAGACTGACGACTGACGTCTTCAGTGAAGGCTGACGTCTGCAGCGAAGACTGACGTCTGAAGTGAAGACTGACGTCTGCAGCGAAGACTGACGTCTGCAGCGAAGACTGACGTCTGCAGCGAAGGCTGACGTCTGCAGCGAAGACTGACGTCTGCAGCGAAGGCTGACGTCTGCAGCGAAGACTGACGTCTGCAGCGAAGACTGACGTCTGCAGCGAAGACTGACGTCTGCAGCGAAGACTGACGTCTGCAGTGAAGACTGACGTCTGAAGTGAAGAATGACGTCTGCAGCGAAGGCTGACGTCTGCAGCGAAGGCTGACGTCTGCAGCGAAGGCTGACGTCTGCAGCGAAGGCTGACGTCTGCAGCGAAGGCTGACGTCTGCAGCGAAGACTGACGTCTGCAGTGAAGACTGACGTCTGCAGCGAAGACTGACGTCTGCAGCGAAGACTGACGTCTGCAGCGAAGACTGACGACTGACGTCTTCAGTGAAGGCTGACGTCTGCAGCGAAGACTGACGTCTGAAGTGAAGACTGACGTCTGCAGCGAAGACTGACGTCTGCAGCGAAGACTGACGTCTGCAGTGAAGGCTGACGTCTGCAGCGAAGACTGACGTCTGCAGCGAAGGCTGACGTCTGCAGCGAAGACTGACGTCTGCAGCGAAGACTGACGTCTGCAGCGAAGACTGACGACTGACGTCTGCAGCGAAGACTGACGACTGACGTCTTCAGTGAAGGCTGACGTCTGCAGAGAAGGCTGACGTCTGCAGCGAAGACTGACGTCTGCAGCGAAGACTGACGTCTGCAGCGAAAACTGACGTCTGCAGCGAAGACTGACGTCTGAAGTGAAGACTGACGTCTGCAGCGAAGACTGACGTCTGCAGCGAAGACTGACGTCTGCAGTGAAGGCTGACGTCTGCAGCGAAGACTGACGACTGACGTCTGCAGCGAAGACTGACGTCTGCAGTGAAGACTGACGACTGACGTCTGCAGTGAAGGCTGACGTCTGCAGAGAAGGCTGACGTCTGCAGCGAAGACTGACGTCTGCAGCGAAGGCTGACGTCTCCAGTGAAGACTGACGACTGACGTCTGCAGTGAAGGCTGACGTCTGCAGAGAAGGCTGACGTCTGCAGCGAAGACTGACGTCTGCAGCGAAGGCTGACGTCTCCAGCGAAGACTGACGACTGACGTCTGCAGCGAAGACTGACGTCTGCAGTGAAGACTGACGACTGACGTCTGCAGTGAAGGCTGACGTCTGCAGCGAAGACTGACGTCTGCAGTGAAGGCTGACGTCTGCAGCGAAGACTGACGACTGACGTCTGCAGCGAAGACTGACGTCTCCAGTGAAGACTGACGACTGACGTCTGCAGCGAAGGCTGACGTCTGCAGCGAAGACTGACGTCTGCAGTGAAGACTGACGTCTGAAGTGAAGAATGACGTCTACAGCGAAGGCTGACGTCTGCAGCGAAGGCTGACGTCTGCAGCGAAGGCTGACGTCTGCAGCGAAGGCTGACGTCTGCAGCGAAGGCTGACGTCTGCAGCGAAGGCTGACGTCTGCAGCGAAGACTGACGTCTGCAGTGAAGACTGACGTCTGCAGCGAAGACTGACCACTGACGTCTGCAGTGAAGACTGACGACTGACGTCTGCAGTGAAGGCTGACGTCTGCAGGGAAGGCTGACGTCTGCAGCGAAGACTGACATCTGCAGCGAAGACTGACGTCTGCAGCGAAGACTGACGTCTGAAGTGAAGACTGACGTCTGCAGTGAAGACTGACGTCTGAAGTGAAGAATGACGTCTGCAGCGAAGGCTGACGTCTGCAGCGAAGGCTGACGTCTGCAGCGAAGGCTGACGTCTGCAGCGAAGACTGACGTCTGCAGCGAAGACTGACGTCTGCAGTGAAGACTGACGTCTGCAGCAAAGACTGACGACTGACGTCTGCAGTGAAGACTGACGACTGACGTCTGCAGTGAAGGCTGACGTCTGCAGAGAAGGCTGACGTCTGCAGCGAAGACTGACGTCTGCAGCGAAGACTGACGTCTGCAGCGAAGACTGACGTCTGCAGCGAAGACTGACGACTGACGTCTGCAGTGAAGACTGACGACTGACGTCTGCAGCGAAGACTGACGTCTGCAGAGAAGGCTGACGTCTGCAGCGAAGACTGACGTCTGCAGCGAAGACTGACGTCTGCAGCGAAGACTGACGTCTGAAGTGAAGACTGACGTCTGCAGTGAAGACTGACGTCTGAAGTGAAGAATGACGTCTGCAGCGAAGGCTGACGTCTGCAGTGAAGACTGACTTCTGCAGCGAAGGCTGACGTCTGCAGCGAAGGCTGACGTCTGAGGTGAAGACTGACGACTGACGTCTGCAGTGAAGGCTGACGTCTGCAGCGAAGACTGACGTCTGCAGCGAAGACTGACGTCTGCAGCAAAGGCTGACGTCTGCAGCGAAGACTGACGTCTGCAGCGAAGACTGACGTCTGCAGCGAAGACTGACGACTGACGTCTGCAGCGAAGACTGACGACTGACGTCTGCAGCGAAGACTGACGACTGACGTCTTCAGTGAAGGCTGACGTCTGTAGAGAAGGCTGACGTCTGCAGCGAAGACTGACGTCTGCAGCGAAGACTGACGTCTGCAGCGAAGACTGACGTCTGCAGCGAAGACTGACGTCTGAAGTGAAGACTGACGTCTGCAACGAAGACTGACGTCTGCAGCGAAGACTGACGTCTGCAGTGAAGACTGACGTCTGCAGCAAAGACTGACGACTGACGTCTGCAGTGAAGACTGACGACTGACGTCTGCAGTGAAGGCTGACGTCTGCAGAGAAGGCTGACGTCTGCAGCGAAGACTGACGTCTGCAGCGAAGACTGACGTCTGCAGCGAAGACTGACGACTGACGTCTGCAGTGAAGACTGACGACTGACGTCTGCAGTGAAGGCTGACGTCTGCAGCGAAGACTGACAACTGCAGCGAAGACTGACGACTGACGTCTGCAGTGAAAACTGACGACTGACGTCTGCAGTGAAAACTGACGACTGACGTCTGCAGAGAAGGCTGACGTCTGCAGCGAAGACTGACGTCTGCAGCGAAGACTGACGTCTGCAGCGAAGACTGACGTCTGCAGCGAAGACTGACGTCTGAAGTGAAGACTGACGTCTGCAGCGAAGACTGACGTCTGCAGCAAAGGCTGACGTCTGCAGCGAAGACTGACGTCTGCAGTGAAGACTGACGTCTGAAGTGAAGAATGACGTCTGCAGCGAAGGCTGACGTCTGCAGCGAAGGCTGACGTCTGCAGCGAAGACTGACGTCTGCAGCGAAGATTGACGTCTGCAGCGAAGACTGACGTCTGCAGCGAAGACTGACTTCTGCAGTGAAGACTGACGTATGCAGCGAAGACTGACGACTGACGTCTGCAGTGAAGACTGACGACTGACGTCTGCAGTGAAGGCTGACGTCTGCAGAGAAGGCTGACGTCTGCAGCGAAGACTGACATCTGCAGCGAAGACTGACGTCTGCAGCGAAGACTGAAATCTGAAGTGAAGACTGACGTCTGCAGTGAAGACTGACGTCTGCAGTGAAGACTGACGTCTGAAGTGAAGAATGACGTCTGCAGCGAAGGCTGACGTCTGCAGCGAAGGCTGACGTCTGCAGCGAAGGCTGACGTCTGCAGCGAAGGCTGACGTCTGCAGCGAAGGCTGACGTCTGCAGCGAAGGCTGACGTCTGCAGCGAAGGCTGACGTTTGCAGCGAAGACTGACGTCTGCAGTGAAGACTGACGTCTGCAGCAAAGACTGACGACTGACGTCTGCAGTGAAGGCTGACGTCTGCAGTGAAGGCTGACGTCTGCAGAGAAGGCTGACGTCTGCAGCGAAGACTGACGTCTGCAGCGAAGACTGACGTCTGCAGCGAAGACTGACGACTGACGTCTGCAGTGAAGACTGACGACTGACGTCTGCAGTGAAGGCTGACGTCTGCAGAGAAGGCTGACGTCTGCAGCGAAGACTGACGTCTGCAGCGAAGACTGATGTCTGCAGCGAAGACTGACGTCTGAAGTGAAGACTGACGTCTGCAGTGAAGACTGACGTCTGAAGTGAAGAATGACGTCTGCAGCGAAGGCTGACGTCTGCAGCGAAGGCTGACGTTTGCAGCGAAGGCTGACGTCTGCAGCGAAGGCTGACGTCTGCAGCGAAGGCTGACGTCTGCAGCGAAGGCTGACGTCTGCAGCGAAGGCTGACGTCTGCAGCGAAGGCTGACGTCTGCAGCGAAGACTGACGTCTGCAGCGAAGACTGACGTCTGAAGTGAAGACTGACGTCTGCAGCGAAGACTGACGTCTGCAGCGAAGGCTGACGTCTGCAGCGAAGACTGACGTCTGCAGTGAAGACTGACGTCTGAAGTGAAGAATGACGTCTGCAGCGAAGGCTGACGTCTGCAGCGAAGGCTGACGTCTGCAGCGAAGGCTGACGTCTGCAGCGAAGGCTGACGTCTGCAGCGAAGGCTGACGTCTGCAGCGAAGACTGACGTCTGCAGCGAAGATTGACGTCTGCAGCGAAGACTGACGTCTGCAGCGAAGACTGACTTCTGCAGTGAAGACTGACGTATGCAGCGAAGACTGACGTCTGCAGCGAAGACTGACATCTGCAGCGAAGACTGACGTCTGCAGCGAAGGCTGACGTCTGCAGCGAAGGCTGACGTCTGCAGCGAAGGCTGACGTCTGCAGCGAAGGCTGACGTTTGCAGCGAAGACTGACGTCTGCAGTGAAGACTGACGTCTGCAGCAAAGACTGACGACTGACGTCTGCAGTGAAGGCTGACGTCTGCAGTGAAGGCTGACGTCTGCAGAGAAGGCTGACGTCTGCAGCGAAGACTGACGTCTGCAGCGAAGACTGACGTCTGCAGCGAAGACTGACGACTGACGTCTGCAGTGAAGACTGACGACTGACGTCTGCAGTGAAGGCTGACGTCTGCAGAGAAGGCTGACGTCTGCAGCGAAGACTGACGTCTGCAGCGAAGACTGACGTCTGCAGCGAAGACTGACGTCTGAAGTGAAGACTGACGTCTGCAGTGAAGACTGACGTCTGAAGTGAAGAATGACGTCTGCAGCGAAGGCTGACGTCTGCAGCAAAGGCTGACGTTTGCAGCGAAGGCTGACGTCTGCAGCGAAGGCTGACGTCTGCAGCGAAGGCTGACGTCTGCAGCGAAGGCTGACGTCTGCAGCGAAGGCTGACGTCTGCAGCGAAGGCTGACGTCTGCAGCGAAGACTGACGTCTGCAGTGAAGACTGACGTCTGCAGCGAAGACTGACGTCTGCAGCGAAGACTGACGTCTGCAGCGAAGACTGACGTCTGCAGTGAAGACTGACGTCTGCAGCGAAGACTGACGTCTGCAGCGAAGACTGACGTCTGCAGTGAAGACTGACGACTGACGTCTGCAGAGAAGGCTGACGTCTGCAGCGACGACTGACGTCTGCAGCGAAGACTGACGTCTGCAGCGAAGACTGACGTCTGAAGTCTGCAGTGAAGGCTGACGTCTGCAGAGAAGGCTGACGTCTGCAGCAAAGACTGACGTCTGCAGCGAAGACTGACGTCTGCAGCGAAGACTGACGTCTGAAGTGAAGACTGACGTCTGCAGTGAAGACTGACGTCTGAAGTGAAGACTGACGTCTGCAGCGAAGGCTGACGTCTGCAGCGAAGGCTGACGTCTGCAGCGAAGGCTGACGTCTGCAGCGAAGGCTGACGTCTGCAGCGAAGGCTGACGTCTGCAGCGAAGGCTGACGTCTGCAGCGAAGACTGACGTCTGCAGCGAAGACTGACGACTGCAGCGAAGACTGACGACTGACGTCTGCAGTGAAGACTGACGTCTGAAGTGAAGGCTGACGTCTGCAGTGAAGACTGACGTCTGCAGTGAAGACTGACGACTGACGTCTGCAGAGAAGGCTGACGTCTGCAGCGAAGACTGACGTCTGCAGCGAAGACTGACGTCTGCAGTGAAGGCTGACGTCTGCAGCGAAGACTGACGTCTGAAGTGAAGACTGACGTCTGCAGCGAAGGCTGACGTCTGCAGCGAAGGCTGACGTCTGCAGCGAAGGCTGACGTCTGCAGCGAAGGCTGACGTCTGCAGCGAAGACTGACGACTGCAGCGAAGACTGACGTCTGCAGCGAAGACTGACTACTGACGTCTGCAGCGATGACTGACGTCTGCAGTGAAGACTGACGACTGACGTCTGCAGTGAAGACTGACGTCTGAAGTGAAGGCTGACGTCTGCAGTGAAGACTGACGTCTGCAGTGAAGACTGACGACTGACGTCTGCAGAGAAGGCTGACGTCTGCAGCGAAGACTGACGTCTGCAGCGAAGACTGACGTCTGCAGTGAAGGCTGACGTCTGCAGCGAAGACTGACGTCTGAAGTGAAGACTGACGTCTGCAGCGAAGACTGACGTCTGCAGTGAAGACTGACGTCTGAAGTGAAGGCTGACGTCTGCAGTGAAGACTGACGACTGACGTCTGCAGCGAAGACTGACGTCTGCAGCGAAGACTGACGTCTGCAGTGAAGGCTGACGTCTGCAGCGAAGACTGACGTCTGAAGTGAAGACTGACGTCTGCAGCGAAGCCTGACGTCTGCAGCGAAGACTGACGTCTGCAGTGAAGACTGACGTCTGCAGTGAAGGCTGACGTCTGCAGCGAAGACTGACGTCTGCAGCGAAGACTGACGTCTGCAGTGAAGGCTGACGTCTGCAGTGAAGACTGACGTCTGCAGCGAAGACTGACGTCTGCAGTGAAGACTGACGTCTGCAGTGAAGGCTGACGTCTGCAGCGAAGACTGACGTCTGCAGTGAAGACTGACGTCTGCAGTGAAGGCTGACTGAGGTATATAAACGGCCCAGTCTCGTTCACGCCACCGTAACGAGTTAGAGAAGGAATAGCAGAGAGTATTTTCATCAATTGTCAGGTTTGCGAATAGTTTTAGCATTTAGGTAGATTCTTATTAGCATAGCTGTTTGTTAATAGTGTTGTTGTTGAATATTGTAGCTTTAGGCTTTAGTTGCTTTTATTGTTAGATTAGCTATTGTTAGCTGAATTTAGCTTAGGACTTTTGTTAGTATTACTAATGTTCTATATCGTGTGAAATTTCATTGTATATTGTTTATTGTACTTGTGTACAATAAATACTACTTTATATTTGAGCGTGTGTTAAATTACTGTCTTTTGTGCACATTGGAGTATCATTTCTATCCAAAATGCCTTTGGGGCTTCCATGCAGCACAAGTTTTCCTTTGGGGACAAGGAGGTGCAGTGGCCGCAGGTTTTTGTGGCAGAGTTTAGAATATTATAACTATATGATCCCACAACATATAGTTGTGGGATCATATAGTTTTTCTCGGTCTGGGTTCATAAGTAAAATGTAGAGACAAAACTGTCAAGCAAAGTACAACACAAGGGGTTACTGAATGGGAATATGGGAAGGCCACTCTTGTCAAAGGTTCGATTCAGACAGATTAGCATTTCGGGGTCCGGATCCCTACATGATTGCTCTTCAAGAACTGTGACAAGCATTTCATACTTTCTATTCCACTCTAATCTACATCATTCAGAAACAGGCTCCATCTGTGACAGTCTGCTGCCTCCGCTTCCTCTGCAGCATCGGCTTCCCCGGTGGTGCCCGCTAGCTTTCGAGCCGAGCCGCTATCTCTAGCACCGCTAGCTCGCGAGCTAGAAGAGAGGAGGCGAGATCCCGTTTGAGTTCAGATAGCAAACAACAGCAGGTGCCCTGCCGTCACGCACGCCCCTCAAACAGTTCTCAACGGATTTATACATTTCGCAAAAATGTTTTTTTGTATGGATCAGACAGACCGGCCCAAATATGGGCAATGCCCGGGTACGCCCGATGGCCAGCCCAGGCCTGGTGGCTCTCATGCACGTGCACAGAGGGGCTCTGCTGCATTCTGACCAATCAGAGCTGCTGATCAGAGCAAAGAATGTGGCACAAAAGTGTGGATTTAAAGAAAACCAAAAGATTTAAAAAGAAGAAAAATCAGGATGACAAGGGACACTAAAATTCCCACAAAATCCGACATTTATGAAAGCTGTAGGTTCTCTGTCAGCTGAGATAAAGTTGTTTTAGTTTACATTGAGTTCTATGAGAACATTTCTGGGTAGCCCAAGTGAATTTAGTCTGTTTAGTCTGCAGTACTGCGAGAATGGGTCCTTCAGCTCCAAGCTAGTAACACCTGTTAATGCTGTAATTTACAGTCAATCCTGACAAAATCACAAACACAAAAGGTATAGTTTCTGCATTCTTTATACTTGGTTGCATTCCAAGGAGAAGTGATTTCTAAAACAGATGCAGAGCAGAAAATGCTGCTCTCTCTCTGGTTACAAAATCAGATCTAACTCAGAGAGTCTGCGAGGTCCTTTTGATAGAACAAGATAAACCTTCACATGAATATAGGAAGTAGAGCCCTGCACGGGCCTATTATCTGGGCCCGAGCCCGGCCCTGGCCCGAGGGGGTGGCGCCCCAGCCCGGCCCGATATGGTTTCTGAATTTTCAGGCCGAAACCCGCATCAAGCCCAACTTTTTTTTTTTTTTTGTAACCTCCCATAACAATGTTTTAGCGTAGTATATAGTGCCGCGCACTGATATGAACGCAGACTTAGCTAGAGGGCGGAGTTATACATGGTACTGATGTGTTGCAATGAGTTCTGTGTGTGCGGAGTGAACGGCCGCATCTGTATGATACA